ATGTACAGAGAAAAGGAATTGAGGTGAGTCATATGCATGTGCCCACTCCACACAAGGAATGAAAACAATATGTACTACAGATATATTATTATAAAAATAAAGATAGTGTACATTGGCATCAGGCCACCTGTTGGGTTAAAGAACACAGGTTGCAGGTGCAGGATTGGGAATGAATCAGGCAGCAAGGTGCCAGGTCTGTGGGCACTTGTTAGGTGTTTACTAACACCTGCTGACAGATTTGCTTCATTTCTGTTCCTTCCCTTATGACTGGAATACCTGACTATCAGTGCTTAGGACCACAGCATTTTAAATGGCCAGTCTTCCAGCTGTGTATTTGTGTTTCTGGCCAGGATGCATGGTGGATGCTATGTGGTGGTGGTGACAGGTTCACCAGTTGAACTGAAGCTTAATGGATGGACTCCTGGTGATAGATTTGTCATGGTGCTGTCTGTGAGGCCCCACTGTTCAAATGTCCCACTCAGTGTGAGGGAGCAGGGTGGGCACCGAGGCCTTGAGCCATCAGCCAGAGCATCAGATTTCCTGGTCCTTAAGAATGTTGGTATCTGCTTGGGCATCAGTGGAGGATGGCATTCTGAGAGATGAGGAGGCACTATTTGAAGGAAAGAGTTGTCTTGTGTCAGAAAATGCTGTGGAAGGAGATGGTGTTAGTTGCCCCATACCCTGCGTACCCTCTGCTGAGACCTGCTTTACAACTTCTGATCAGTGTCTTCTGCCACAATGTGGCTCTCAAATGGAATCTTGTTTGCTTACCATCATGATGGAGACCAGCACTGTTTCATAAAAGTACACTGTGAGCCACATATATAGTTTTAAATTTTCAGATATCCTCATTAAATGGCAACATTGATTTTATTATATTTAATCCAGTGTATCGTAAATAGTTCATGAGGTGGCTCAGTAGTCAGGTACGAGTGGTAGCCACTGTGTTAGATAGGGCAGATCTGGACTGATTTTACCAGGCCTGGCCCTGGAGAGATTTGTGTGTGATTACACATCGAATAGGACCAGAAGAGGTCAAATCCAGTCTGTCCTCTGTTAAAAAGATACCAGATGGAACATGCAGAGGCAGTGTGGATTTTTGCTGATTTTTACTATTTTTCCTCACACTTTGCCTTAGAACCTGTGTGTTTCTGCCTTTGACGTTCAGCTTCCTAAGGGAAGGGCCTTTTGGGACTTGTGCTAGTTATCCCTAGTATCAGCTCCAGAGCCTTGTAGACAGATTTTTCACTAGGTGCTTTGGGACCGAAGTTAGGATACTTTTAAAGACTTGTAGACTTGTGGAAGGCAGCGAGCTCTGGTTATTCACTGTCTCAAGGTGGTTCTGCCTGTCTTGTTGACTAGATTTCTGCAATATGTCATATGATCTAAAGCATGTGATCTGAGTCTTCTTTGCCCTAGGAATTCAGTGAGAGGTAAATGGGCTGTTACTAATTGTTCCCAGATTTAATACTAAAGATTGAAAGGGAAAAGATTTTCCTGTAAAACAAGGTTTTCGTGGTGGCTGCATTGCAAGGGATGGTAGAGAGCTGCTGAGGATCTTATCACTCCTAGATATGTTCCCACCTCAGAGTTTGGGTGGAGGATGGTGTCACAGTGCTGACATTCATTAATTCATGTGTGACCCCAGGAAGCTACTTCCCTACTGGTCTGCCAAAGTGAGGAGGAGAACTAGGGACTTTGGCTTTGAGTTTGGCCATAGTTGTGTCTCCCATCCCCATCTACCCCCAGAATCCCTGCTTCCCTCGTGGGGACTCCTATGTTCCCTTTGTCCTGGCCCAGCCATGCCATCCATCCTGTAGTTGGCTACTGCCCAGACTCAAGGCTGTGGGTGTGTCTCCCAGATGGGTTTTGGACTTCCAGGCCTATACTAGCCTTTTCTCTTTCTCAGCCATCTCTGGAGTGGTGACATTGTCCATCAGGGCCATTGCCTTGTGGGCTTCCTGCTCCCTCCTGGGTTGGAGTGAGTCCAGCCACACCAGTTCTTCTGGCTTCCGTTTTCTCCCCCGGGGCTTTGTAGACATTCTGTGCAGATGTTTTTCTCTTGGTCTGGAGCCCTGCTCCTTCTGGTTGCTGCCTGTTTCACCTTTAAGACCCAGCTTTGGTACCACCTCCTGATTTGTTGCTCACTTATTCTTTCAGTATTTGTTAAGTAAGTGTCCTGCTGTGCATGTGGTACAGAGTTGGAGGGTACAGAAATGGGGCCCTCTTGGAGTTTGTTTTTATTGAAGTGGACAGACAGGAAGCCATACTCTGTAGCTTTCAACATGTAGATGGGTGGTTGTGTCTGTTCTGGGCACCTCACCCTCCTTAGTGCTCTGCAGGTCCCATGGCCCCATCTTACCCCACTGCCCTCTCTTAGTACTTGGCACACTGTGTTGTTTTCTTTCTTCTAGGCCAGCCCCACTGCCCGGTATCTCAGAGGTGCACAGTCAAGTGCGGGTTAAATGCATCAGTGAAGAACGGGCTTACCTGACAGAAACATTCCTTGTAGATACACAGATACCTGTTGGATGATTTTTTTAAAATTTGGGACCAAGTGTGCAAATGCTGCTGAAAATAGCCCCAAATGTAGTGTCAGTGCCTGGGGGTTGTCCTGTGCTTACCAGTAATACAGTGTGGTCTCTAGGTGTGTCACTTGCTGTCAGGCCCGCAGAGCCGGTTTCTGCATTGTCTTGTGTGGGAGTCACTATGTCTGAGGTCTGTATACCTTGCTGGAAGCCAGTGTAGATGAGGTGCCCTGGCCTCCTTTCTTGTTGGGACTTCTTTGTAGGAACAGCATGGAGATTTGTGACCTGTATTTGTGGTCTAGTCTGTTTATTTACACCAGAGTTCATGGTTTGGGGTTCTCCTGTGTCCTGGACACCTTTTAAAGATGTATTTATGTTATAAAATGCAATTAATTTGTGGTATACAGTTTTTTGGGTTTGGACTGATGCATGAAATCATGACTGCTATAATAGTCATGGTGTAGTCAGCTCCCACATGTGGCCACTCCAGTATCAGTATTTATTTATTTATTTATTAAATGTATTTGGTAAGGGTCTCACCATGTAGCTTGGACTCGTAGTGATCCTCCTGTTTTCAGCCTCTCCAGTGCTGAGATTATAGGCATGAGCCACCATGCCTGGACTCTGTTGCCAGCTGGGTGGGGCTGGCACTGCATGTGGTGCCAGGGATTGAACCCTGGTGCCTGGGATTGAACCCTGGTGCCTGTGCTTCCTAAGCAGACACTTAGTCTGCTGAGCTATCTCATCAGCCTAATATTAGCCATTCTAATAGGTGTGCTATCTAGTTTTTATTTTGGAGGCTTCTGGTTTTTTTTTGTTTTTTGTTTTTTGCAGCACTAAGAAGTGCAGAACCCAGAACCCAGTGAGGATGGAGCTATATTGTTGTCCTTTTATACTTTTCTTTTGAGATGGGGCATTTTTAAGGCTGGCCTGGAACTTGTGACTCTCCTGCCTACAGCTTCCCAAGTGGCTGTGATTATAGGCATGTACCACTATACTTGCCTGATCTACAGCTTTTTCTTTATATTCTCTCCAGTGCTGGAAGAAGTTAGATGCCATTATTTGATGTGACTTGGCCAAGTGCCCTCTATATCTATTTGAGGTTTGATTCCTTTAGATGGATATATGGATGCTTGGAATGAAGGAGCAACAGGAAAATGAGTCCTAAATGGAAAGTGTCATACTGCATTATTCTCTAGTCTTCGAATTTATTGTTTTGGAACTTGGAATTGAACTCAGGACCTCATACTTGCCAGGAAGGTGGGATTTAAAAAGATTTCTTAAATTACTTGGATTAAAAATCTTTGTTAGAACTGCTTCACCAGGTCCTTATGAGCAAATGCTAATGTGGTGGATTAACTAATGGTTAATTTGTAATATCCAAATGAACTGAATCATTGAGGTGCTGGGTATAGAAGGCCCATGTGAGGATTGTTGCCAACAACATAAAGAGAGAACTGGAGGGAAGGTGGTGTGAGGTTGATCTCCTGGAGAAATTTGTCACACTGTCTTTTCTGATATGAGCTCAGCTGTTCTCGTCTTTAGAGCAGCTTGGCTTCTTGCTGTTGCTTGGGATGGCTGTGATTCTTTTTGGGGAGCTCTGGTCATTATCTTGAGTGATGCTTCCTGGTTCCAGTGTAGATCCCTGTCTGCTGGCACAGGTCCTTCATCCTGTTGGTGCAGATTTTCTAGCTTCCATTACTGATCTTTGGGCCTTCCCAGTACAGATCTTGATACAGATTTGCATGAGACATTGACATGGGCTCTAAGCCTCCACATGGACTTGTAGATGATATTGCTGTGCACTGTAGGTCTTCAGCTGGATTCGAGCAGGGCATTGCTGTGGGATCTGGGCCCTTAGCTGGGTTCTTCACATCTCTAGTGCATCAGATCTTTTGCACTGTTCCGGACTTGACTTCTTAGGTGAGTATTATAAAGTATTCCTATAAATTATTTTTCTTGCTTCCAACCACTGTACAAAAATATAAATTATGTGTCTTGTATTAAACCCATTCCCTTGCATACCTTAACTACAACAGCTACCAATCCTGTTACTAAAATTTCCTTGTTCTGTCTTGCCACTCCCTTTCATGTGGCAAGGTGCACAGTCCCTATCAGATATAATTTTTTTAAGCTCTTTGTTTTACTTGTGGCCATAACAAGTTTCTCCCACCTTTTTCTAGGCTCCTAATCGTCAGCTCATGACTTACTGGTTGCAGGAGTTACAGCAGAAGAGATGGGAATATTGCAACAGCCTGGACATGGTGAAGTGGGACAGCAGGACATCCCCCACCCCTGGGCAGTTCCCTAAGGGCCTTGTAGCCAGAAGTAACACAGGTAATGCAGGGATGGAGGGGCCATGCCAGTTCTCTTTGTATGGCCACTTGACACAGCAGGTCAGCTTGACTATGGATGAATGAGAGTTCAGGATGAAGATAGCTGTGATGGTCCCTTCTGAACTGGCAGCATCTCATATTTATGGTGCTTCCAGGCTTAGAGTCATGTTCAAACTAGGGATTTTAACCCTCAGATACTGATTTTATTTATTTTTGTATTCATTATGTTTGAATAACTTGTAGTAATTCTTGGCCATTTGCAATCTAGAAATGTGCTTTTATATTTGAATATCAAAAATTAGCACTCTATGATCATTTCACCACTATGTGGCTGTGTTGAGCCCTCTAGAGAGACTAAAAATTATTTGCTGACCACCTCACCTACCCACCTGTCCTGTTCCCTATAATGGAGGAGGGAGGTGGGGCTTCTTATGGCCCCCACTTATGATATAAGGAGAAGAGTAGGCCCAACGTAGGCAGGGACCAAGCTCTGAATCTTGATGTGGGACTGAAATGGTCAAGCCATTGTCCTAGCAGTTTTGAAGGTCATAAGAAGTGCACACACTGTTGACATTCTTTCCACGACTCAGTTCTGAGTCACTTGAGACACGGGACACCTTTGGGGAACCAGCAGCTTTCATGATTGTGGCTGATGCCTTTGTCCAGAAGATACTCTGTTGGTCTCTGCTCCTTTACCTGGGTGACAACAAAGTATAGTAGATACTCAGAGATGTGAGTTGGAAAGACAGCAGTCTTTCTGGAACACCTCTTTTGCCTTCTTTTTTTAAAAAAAATTTTATTTGTGTGTGTGTGTGTGTGTGTGTGTGTGTGGCCAGCTCAGCCCACCAGGGGGCAGGGCTGGCTGGCATGTGGTGCTGGGGGATTGAACCGCAGTCCCTGTGTTTGCTAAGCTTGTTCTAAGTAGGTGCTTTAGACCACTGAGCCATCTTACCAGCCCCCTCTTTTGCCTTCTTGCCAGCTAAAGCACTCACACTAGTGACAGACTTGTGTTGAGGAGATCTTTGGTTCCTTGTCTCAGTTTGGGGATCTTAGTGTGGAACTTAGAGTTTGTGCCATCTGATGTTTTGCATTCAGCCTGGACCCTGCCTCCTGGAGTTTCCAGTCAAGCAGGGTAGTTATGAGAAGACAGGTAGGAGAGAGTGAGGTGATGGATGTGTAGGTGCCTGGGTCTGTGTGTGGGCCAAGTGTTCTTTTAGACTTCAGGAGATGAGCAGAAGCCCTCCAGGTTGAAAAATAGCTGAGGCAGGAGAGCTGGAGTGCAGTACCTCAGTGGGGCTACAGGGCTAGCAAGCTGGGGTGTACTCAGGTGGAGTTGGAGCTGTAGCTGGCTGGGGGCCTGATGGCTGGGAGTGTCTTGGCTGCAGGTTCTAGACTCTGTCCAAAGTGCACATTTCTACTGTGTGTAGAAATGACTACAACTTCTACCAAATTTTAGATAGCATTAGGAACAGTAAAACCCCTGGGTTGTTTTCAAGAGCATAACGTTCAAGAAATAAAAAAAATCTAAAGCTGGAGAACAACAAGAAGAGGCTGTATTTGAGCTTCTTTTCTTTCATTACCAGAGAGAAAAATGGGTTAAAGATAAATTTTTGGTGGTGCCATGGGATATCCTGAACCCATGCATATAGTTAGCTGCTCTGCTTAGCCTAGCCAGGCTAACTTGAGCTAGCGTTGACAGTGGATATTTTTGTAATGCTGGTTTGCATAAACAAAACAAAACAAAACAAAACAAAAAAACAACAACAAACCAAAACACCTTTTACTGCTGTTATCTCCCAGTCACCTACTTGTTTAATGGTGTGCCCTGTCAGGACCCTTGGGTACTGAAGCTGGTATGAGCAAAGATCATGGGATTCTCTCCCTAGATAACCAAGATGTGGCCTTCATCAAAACAGAGATCTGTGAGCACAGAAAAACGTGACTGTTTGACAGTGAGCTGGCACTGTCACTTAGCTGCCTGCATTCATGTGCTTCCCAAAAGCTCTATCTTCAGAGTGACACTTTACCATGTGCTGGATTTTCAAGCCTTGTGCTGTTGGTCAAGAGTGTGAATTCTGTGTGGGCCCCACAGGCTGAGTGTCTAAGACCTGTTTGTGGATAGATGCTGTTTCTTGAAACTTGTGATGATGGTTTGAGGGTTGACCACACGTTTCCTCCCTCACAGCAGCTGCTTTTTGTAGTTCACTGTCACCCTTAGCAGCTGCAAGTGGGACAAGAGGCAGCTCCCAGTCCTCTACACCTGGCTCAGGCTTTCTGAGTAGAACAGATGGAGGGCAGATCTAGCATTGGCCACCCTTAGCCAGTCCATGTCATCCTTTAAGGCTGTGGTCCCACATGGTGATCCCAGAAGTGCTGCTCCTGTGTCATCTCATTTGGGACATCAACAGTTTTTTTTTTTTTTTTTTTTTTTTGGAACCAGGGATGGAACTTGGGTCCTCGTGCTTGCCAGGCAGCGCTTATTCCACTGAGCCATCTCCCCAGCTCTATGTCATCTCATTTGGGAATGCTGCACAGTGCCACATATTTTTAAAGTGTGAGCCATGGTACTCACACCAGTGTTTTCTCTGAGAGGCATCTTCATGGAACCTCTAGGAGCCCAAGGAGAGGTGAAAGGATGCTATCTGAGTAGGCCTGGGGCACAGTCCTGTAGGGATACTTGGGCCTGCACCTCCAGTGGCATTTGGTGCTGATGAAGGTGTGTATATGTTTGGGTTACTGTGGATGGGGAATGGGGCCAAGTGACCTGCAGTCAGGGAGCTCATTGGAGGTAGTTAGAGAGGGAGTCCAGAGGAAGCATGAAGGTCAGCTGTGGCGAGATGCTGAGGCCTCGGCTGCTGCCTTCTTTGTTCTCTGCTAACAGTGGGGGTGAGTTACTGTCTTCTTTACTGTTCAGCTATTTTACTGATGGCAGCTGAGTCCTCCTCTGTGCTGCGTGTTGGGTGTGCAGCAGTTAGCACTCAGCTAGGACTCTGTGCTGTGTGTGTCCTTGCAGTGAGTGTGAACAGGTGTATAGCTTTAACCAGACCAGTGGATCGCCAATCCTGGGCATTCTGAGACCCACCTCTCCATTTGTTGCACCAACTTAGGATGGTGCTGTGTGCTTACTTAGAAGACAACCTCTGTTCCTCATGACTGCCCCTTCAATCTGGGTTAAAACTTGATTTGATGATGAAAAAGGCATTTCAGATTCTGCTTCCTCATCTGCTATGGTGATGCCCTGGCTCCCATTTTCACAGTGCTCTGAGATGTGAGTGGGTTTCCTGGGATTCTCCTGGTTGTATAGTTCTATGGGAGTGATTGCTGGTGGAATGCTAGGCCTGGCTGCTGTGGCAGGGTAGGAGCTGGAGGGAAATGAGCATCCTAGGGCAGGGCAGGTCTGATCAGGAGCCTCCCTAGATCCCTAGCAGGACACTTGGGATGTGTCCCAGGCTGAGGCTGTTTAGCTTACTGAAATTAAGAGTGCTGGAATCAGGACCTAGGAAGTGTAGATCAGTGCAAAGGTCTTGTTCAGTACCCCAGTATGGAGAACGGGGGAGAGACAGAGAGAGGCAAAGACAGAGAGACAGAGAAAAAGAGACACAGAGAAAGAGAGAAAAAGAGATAGGAAGGGAAGGGGAGAAAGAGAGAGAGGAGGGCTGGCCAGATAGCTTAGTGGACTAAAGCGCCTGCTTAGGCAGGCACAGGAACTGGGGTTTGATCCCCATCATGCTGTGTCCACCGTGCCCCTGGGGTGAACTGAGACGGCGACTGAGACGAGGCATGGTGGCATGCACCTGTAATCCCAGTGCCTGGGAGGCTGAAAGCAGGAGGATCACCACGAGTCCCATCTATGTAGTGAGACCCTGTAGACCTGTACTAAATACAAAAAATAAAATAAAAATAGAAAGCAAAAGCAAAAGCAAATGAGAGAGAGAGAGAGAGAGAGAAAGAGAGCAAATAAGAGAGA